ATTGACCGCTGAATTTATAAATTTAAATTTTATTCGTATATCATAGTTTGCATCATAAAATCGAATATTATGATGGAATATTTAGTAACATATAGCCTGGAAGCCTCTATATGACTGAGTGTGACACGCACTCACATAAGAGGTGTTTATATATATATATATATGTAAGAAAAATAAAGAATATGTAAAAGATTAAATTACCAGCGTAAATTAATTTCCCTTCTCTCTTCTAAAAATAGCAACATCTATTTGCACTGCGTCATTTCGAGAAAAAATGTATGTCATATGATTCTTACGTAATTCTGATGATGTAAATGAAACTAAAATTCAAGCAGCCAATAATAATTTTACAGCAATATTAACTATCCAATCAAAATGCTTTGAGAACCAAAACTAACTCAATTTGACTTGAGATTTCATCCTCAACAATACGCACTTGCTTTCCACGTTTTGGCTACACTGCTGTCTGTCTGCTGCTTCGCCTCCAATTTCCTGGTCATTGCTTCTCAGTTTGAATATATTACAATCCTGCTCCTGAGTATATTACATATATATATATATATAATAATAAAATTCCATAGTCAAGAATACATTTAAAATTCTAACTGTATGTTCTTTTCATTTTAATGGCGACGTTCTCTTATTTGAAAGTACGTGGAATTAAATCCACAGCCCTGTAGTCAAGTTCTTTTTCCCGCCTTTTCTACACGTACAGTTTTAGAATGTTCTGGAGATTTTCAAGCGAACTGGATTGGCTGACGAGGCTGACGTCATTTCTTGGAAGCTCCGCCTTTCCAGAGGCTATAAAAAGACTCGCAAAAGGAATATCGGGGCTTTTTCTTAAATGTCGCGATGCAGTAAACTTCATACAAAATATTAGTAGTTCTTTTTTATTTACTCCGGAGATCAGATTTTTGTAATTGCTATTTTCTCCTGAAATATAATAAATGGATCCTGTTTTTTAAAACTATCGTCTGATAATTTAAGATACGACTACATTGATGATTCTTCAACAATCTATTTATTCCTGACAAAAGCTGGTACATTACATATATATATATATATATATACAATAATTCGAATATATATATACAATAATTCTGAGATACATAAAGTACCTATGTATCGTAGTTTACATTGAATACATAAATTCATGTAGGCTTGAATATTTATATACCTCATTGCTTAATTACTTACTTAAAAATTTTTAGTGCTGCAATTCTGGCACACGTTGGCACTGTCGCTGGTGGAGTATAAGGTAAATTTGCTCGTACAAACACTACGGAAACGTTTCAGGAAGAACATTGACATAGATCTTACTTAGTTCGTGGCTAGAATATCCAGTCCTGATGACATTAGCAGGTTAATGATATTGTAGATTCTCTGTCGTAGGGTTGGAGTTCTCCATATAAAATGTCTGAATGGATTGATATTGGTGGAAGGCATTCTGATATGGAACCTTTTGGTTAGTGGACGCCAAACATCGTCGAAGGAGATCATTACAGAGCAGAAGGCTTATTTCTATGAGCTGGGATGGCAATTTGCACCAACCTCTGCTTGATTCCGGGTGATTTCATCTCTGCCGTTCGATATTGTGACTAAATTCTATACCCTCCTAAGCGTCCCTTTATCTCTACAGTGAGTACCGATGCGATATTTTTGGACGATAATGCCCGCTTGCATACAGCGTGAATGGCTCGAAGTTATCTGGGATTGAAACCATTCGAATCTGCCTTGGCATGCTAGATGACCGGACCTGAATCCTATAGAGTATGTGTCGGGCATATTGGGACGACGGATAGCAGGTTACTGTCATTATTTTTATTCAGGTTGCTTTTATTCAAAACTCATAAAGTAATAATTTATCATATAGTTTAATTAGAACAAAAGGTTAAATAATTATCTTTGCTGAATTCTTATAAATTTTATAACAGGAATAATAAAAACGTAGGCATATAATAATTAATTTTACTAACTGAATAATTTTACTAACTGGGAAAAGTTTAAACCCTTATCTATAAAGGACGCCCGACGCTATTGTTATTTGTGATATAAAACTGCAGATATATTTCGTGAAAAGAATTAGTTAACTTCTTACTCTAACTAAATAGTTTCTTTTTCTTTTACTCCATTAATCGTGCTATGAGTTTTGAATAACAGCTTATTTTATGAAACTTATTTTTTAGTGTCTGAACCTTGTTTTGCAAATCGTTTTTAGGGGGGAAATTTTGAAAAATTTAAAGAGTCCTTCCCAGAAGTTCATGAATCTAAGAAAAATGTTTTTTCTTTTGATAATTTAGCATAAAAATTGGAACCGTTCACCTTAAGAAACGAACGATTGCTCGTCCCTTCTGAGTTTGGACAAAATTGAGTAAGTTATTAATAAAATGTTTCAATTATTAAAAAAGAGCGTGAGAAAAATGACACTGCAATCAAAATGATGAGCTGCGGAGTAATGCTTTCGTTCTGCTTGTGAAAACGCATCTCCATCTTGCAATAAACGAACGGTTTTTAAACCTAATAGCTTAAACTGAAGCTGAAATTTCAAAGGATATATCACTCATATATATCACTGCATAGGAGTGTTGAGTGTTACTCACTGACATAATTTGCCGTTGTTATCCATTTTCAAATTTTCATAGTTTCTGAAAGTTTGAGGCACGCGATTTTGGACCACACTGTATTAAACGTTTAACTGATATTTTTTATAAACATATGCGTCATTATTTTAAACAATGAAAAATATTTCTACATTATTTTAAACAATGAAAAATATTTCTACATTTATTTCGTGAATCGTATTAAAATTCTTAAAACATGCTTTAAAAAGTCGCAAAGTTTTTTAGTGTCTTCAGCTCTTCCAAAAGAAACACAAATCTAAACAACGGGAAATTGTTTATGCCACTCAAAAAAGAATTCCAGTGCGAGTGTTCCTGAATTTTGGAAAGAAAATGCATATGCGCTCATAAAAAAATAAATGAAAAATATTGCACATTCTTCCGTAGAAGACGTAAATTTTCTTCTGAACATCCACCGTAAATAATTTATTACCACTCTAAAATAAAACAGCGGAAATTTTGTCCCTTAAAGTCTTAGGAAAATATTAATACAATAATAAAAAAAATCACTCTATTTTGACATGTGGGCTTAATTTTCTCGAGAGCGAAAACATTCCGAGTAGAATTGAATTAAATTCCAACTTTCGCGTTCTTACGTGAATACAGAATGCGAAAAAAAACACGAGGACAATTCAGAAGTATTTGGCCTTTTGAATTCTTAGCGTAAATTGCATACTTTTAGTGGAGTTTTCAGTTTTCTTTCTGAAGTATTTTGAAAGGACTTTTAATGAACTTTCAGCTTATGCTTTGCCTGATAATGCGCAATAATGCATTTCTTTTTCTTACAGTCTCAGTTACAGTTAGAGGAAAATGATATTTTGTGCACTCAATATTCCTAAGGCTTTTGTATTACTGGGTTTCTGAATGTAAGCGGCAGGAATTTAAAACTTCAAAAACGGAAAAAAATTATTTAAACTTATTTTTTATCATTATTGTTATTATATTCTGTTTTATTTTATTATTGTGATAAAGTAAAATTCTGAAAGAAGTTGTACACCAGACGAAACATAATCAATTTAACTGATATTACAAAACTTATGTTAATAATAAGAGTAAGATAAAATTCATAATAAAAATAACCAAATAAAGAAACATAAATTAGTATAAAAGTAATTTTATTAATTAAATAGCTGATTGTGGTAATTAAAAAATAATAATATTACATATGGTCAGTGGATATAATGCAAATTTTATGATAATTATCATAAAGAAAAACTCTTAGTAATAATTAAAAGGCATATATAAGCACAAATAAATAGTAGCAATGATTAATTAGCAATGTTTCATGATACAAATTATAATGACAGATGTAGTATAGCAATGTAAATGAATTAAAATACTAGCAGCAAATGAAAATATTTTTTTATTATAATAATAAAACAAAAAGATAAAAGTAACAACATTAAGTACGAAAAAGCCTTTATCGTAAAAAACGAGGTCTCGAGTTATTGAATTTTTATTACTGTTATTAGTGATTAAAATAATTCTGAAAGTATCAGGTTACAGTTACCGAACTTGAAAGAAGTATTTCCGTTGCAACTTTAAAAGATTTCAAAAATTGCAAAGATTAAAAAAAAAAAAAAAAAACTGCCATTTTGAGTTTAATACCTATAACTGAACTTATTGTTGTTAAACTCTGAATTTACAGTTGTTAAACTTTAAATTCAAGGAACAAGAGTCCCCATGTCTGAAATTGATAAGGTAAAGCACCCAATCATTTAAAAATTAGTTATAAGAAACTACTCGAGCTGGTACCAACAATCACCTTCATTGTATGCAAAGCATTTCTAAGGGTCTGTCCTCGCTTTATCTGACTTGATGGAGGTCCGATTAACTCCCAGTTAACCGAGTTTCGGATTAACTGGGCTTGACTGAAAAAAACATAACTTTGTTTCTTCGAAATGATGAAAAGAAAGACGATCCCGAACCATCATCTTAAAACTGTTTAAATAAAATGCAAAATGCATCGAATAGCAGTAGTGATAGCAAATGATATCTTAGTGTTCGGGAATTGTTTTACCTACAATAATCCGTGAATTAATTGTGCGTAATTCGGAATGTATGAACACTATTAAATTATTGGTTAAAAGTGAATTGTTCAGTCTAAAAATACATCAAGTGCGCAGCCATTAATCTTGTGTTTCACATCGACGCGTATCAAAATAAAGGATAATGTAAACAAAAACATAGATCGTTTTTATTACTGTCGATGGTCTCCGAAATAATCCTCAATAATATTTTACATATAAGAAAATGCAGTGTGAGAGTAATCTCAATATGCAGATGATTATGAACCTATTATACATAAATGTTAATGATACCCCCTTACGGATTGTTTGAGTTTATTAAGCTACTTATTTATTTTCTTCTTACTTTTCGTAGGAAGAAGGAAAGTTCTCGAATGTTCTGGTAATCCAAAGTAATGATCACGTGGTAACGGCCCTGGACAAAGCCATCGGCATCCATTGCTCCTACGATGTGGGCAACAAGACAGAGGAAACGGAAATTAACATCACGTGAGTACAGTCTAATTCCCAACAATAACTGAATAACCGAAAAGATTCCATGCACTGTTACGTGGATAGCAAATGGTGTTCTGTGCTTAGGTGCGGAGGATATTATGCGTTAAAAACATATTTTCTCAACGTGAATAATTCTGCAGAGGCTTACAACCATGTAACGCTAAACATACCTTGATATATCATAAATAAGCAATAATATTTTGTAAAATTTAAAATTAGATCACTTAGTAACATTATTAAAGAAATAAAATAAAACCGTAAATTGTTAATAAATATATTTTCTGCTGATAAGTATATAAGGTATTTTCTGCTTCCTTTCTGCATGCCTTCCTGGTTTGGCACACTCGGCGCGTATTCAAGAGGTTCAGGTTCGAATCCCGGTGAGGGTATTGCTCACTTTTCAGGCCTCCTTCTTCCAAAAACAATCCTAATGTCTCTACAAGTAGCTCGATTAATTGTTATAATTTTAAACATTAGATAATATTTAAAATTATATCAGTTAGTAATATTATTAAAGAAATAAAATAAAGCATTAAATTATTAATAAGTATATTTCCTGATGATAAGTAGCTCGATTAGTAAACCATCTATAATATAATTAGAAAATAAAAAAAATAAAGACGTCGAATAGTAAAAGTCTTGAAATACAGTTATTTGCCAAGCTGAATGTATGGTAAATGCTGTGCTAGCGTAACCTAACCTAATGCAAAAATGCTAATAATTAAACTATATGGCATTTATAACGTCAAAAAAAGAATAGAAAACTTAATTGATTGGGATATAATAACGACATTAAATGTTTATAGAATTTTGTCAATGAACAAAATTGAAAGCTATCCGTTTTACTTTGATGTGCGAGGTTTCCACACTTTTTAAGAGCTTATGTTTAGTTTTTGATTGTATTTTGTCGCTATTATTGGAGGTTATATTTTCTGATACCCACTTCCTGCATTTAACTTACTTCCTGATATCCTATCAAATTTTGCACGCACACTGTTTGAAGACAACAATACAAAGTTATGCACCGATGTTTTTTCAAAACTGGATTTGGATTTTTTTTAATTTAATGTTTAAACGAATTTTCGTTTAACTAACAAGCTAAAAAGTTCACAAATTGTCTTTTGCACCTTTGGTTAGAGCGGGGAGGGAGGAATTCTTAAATTAAATTTATATCAAATTTGTAACATCATATTTGATCTTTTGACGAATTTTCGACAATCGCTTGATTTTGAATGCGACGGTTATAATATGAATCGGTTGTAAATTTTGAATTTTTTGCAGATTATAAAACAAACTCTTCGCTCTCTTTTAAAACGAGAATGATAAAAAAGTATTAAAACAAAAAATTTCAAATTTCTACAATTTGTACCGTCGCATAGAGCGAAGAAAAATTTTAAACGAAGTTCATAAGAAATTTTAATGTTACTTTTGATTTTTTTGGCAAAATCGATGGATGTTTTCGATCATTTCACGTAAACAATTGTTAGATGTAGAAGAGTGAATTTTCAGTTTCATAACTTCATTCATAATGTGTCGTTGAGACTTGAAAGACGAAAACAAAAATATAATAAAACGTTTTATTTATAGAATAAGCTTTAATTTAAAATTGATAAATTAATTAACGAATAAAAAGGTAAAAAAATATAATTTATTTTAATGGAAAAAAAGTTTTTTTTTTTTTTTTTTTTTTTTTTTTTTTTTTTTTTTACAAAATGCGTCTGCAATTCTACATCACCAATAATAAAATTGTGGGCATCTAAGTAATAATTTGATAATGGAATTGTATTCTCCATTAACTTTATACATTTATACTACGATTTTATTATTCGTGGGATAAAGTTATAGATGAAATTCGTAAACAGAAGTATTTTCTTTCCTCCCCGTCAGACTGCATGATAAATTATTCTTCTATTTTTAGTTCATTAATCATTTTATGAGTTTTGCGCAAAAGCTTATTTTATTAAAAAATGTTGTTATGTATTGTTAAATGTTATTGTTTTATTAATTATTATTTGGATTTATTCCATATGAAACTGTAAATTATTATATATGATTTCTATCTCATGTACTGCAAAACGGGTCTCAAAGACTGTATCAGCCACGACTTTTGAGAAATAATCTTTTTTATGTCAAAAATAGCATTTTTCAGGAGAAAAAAGCATTCTCATTGAAATAAAAAATTATCATCATCATCATCATCATCATTATTAGTGTTACGAATTTGGTATTTAAAAAGCTAATGTTAGTTCAATTATAAATTAAATGGTTTTATTTCTCGCGCAGTGCAGCGCGTGACGAATATTAAAAGAAAGCTAAGCCGGAAAAATTAAAAATACAAGAGCGCGTGCGTTAAATAAATAAATATCTCTTTTTGATTTCGAGAAAGTACTGGAAAATTCTAGCGCGTGATTTTAAAATCTTATAAAAGGAGGAAAACATCTCAGTTTGTAGTAGTTGCTTAGTTTGTTGTTGTTTAGAAAACTGCTGTTGTTGATTATAGCGAATTCGCGGATTAGCGTTCTTTAGCTGTTTTGAATTACGTTCTATTGTACATTTGAGTAGTTAAAAGATAACTACTGTGAGATATTGTAATACTGCATGATAATTTGAGAAAATTTAAGCATTTTTGTTGTGATAATAATAAATTTTTGTTCATTTTTCATCGGACTTGTGCATTCATTTCATAACGAACCCGTACGCACGCAACAATTTTTGGTGTCAGAAGTGGGATTTGAATGCCAATAACAAGAGCGATGGAAGAACAATTGAGACAGCTCATTACTGCTTTTGCTGCTTTCCAAGAAAAGATGGAAGCTGGCCAAACATCTTTTAAAGAAGAAATTAAAGAGAAAATGGATGCTGGTCAAAGGTCCGTTAAAGAAGAAATGAAATTGGGCCAGGAATCCCTCAAGGAAGAAATGAAAACGGCACAGGAACAAATGAAATTGGGCCAGGAATCCGTTAAGGAAGAGATGAAATCTCTTAAAAATGAGATGAAAGCAGGTCAGGACGAATGATGAAAGAGAAATTACCTGCGTAATAGAAAATAAATTTGAGGAGGCTATGGAAGGCAGAATAGACGCGGTTGAAACTAAAGTTGGACAAATAGAAGAAAGAGTTTCTTCGGTAAAAGAACAAGTAGAAGAAAGAATTTCTTCTGTAAAAGAACATATAGAAGAGAGAGTTTCTGCCGTCGAACAACAAATTGATGATAGGGTTTCTGCTGCCGTCGCCAAAGAAGTTGACAGCCTAAAGAAGTGCATAGCGACGGTAGGAAACAATTCTGAAGGTTTCAAATTTTTATCGATGCCTGCTCGTTCCGTTCTGAAACTATCTACATATGATGGGAAGACCTCCTGGCAGGTGTATAGGACACAATTTTCTATCGTTGCGGATGCGAATGGATGGGATTCCCAAGCTAAGGCCTGTCATCTCGCCGCTTCTCTGAGAGCAGACGCAGCGGATATCCTGCAGACGCTTCCCGAAAATCAAAGGCTAGATTTCGAAGCTCTATCCGGCGCTTTGGAGCTGCGCTTTCGGCGAGAAATGTTTAAAAGACTACAGCAGGCTTCCAATTAAAATCTCGTCAACAGAAGCCCACCGAAAACACTTCAGGAGCTCGCCACGGATGTTGAAAGGCTGTCCACATCTCGCCTTTTCGGAGTGCCCGACAGAAACAAGGGAAATCCTGTCCTGCAATATTTCATCGATGGCATCCGGGACCCTGAAATACAGAAAGCACTGCGAATGGCGGATGTAAATGTAAAAGATTTAAAAAGCGCTCTGTTGTACGCCATGAAATTGGAGGCAGCCCAGCAAGCAACTCTTAGAGAGATCGCTACCCAGTCAGAGCTGTGCGAGTCCACGACCCAGGGGACCAATTGATGGCTCGTTTAGAGATGATTTATCCAGACAAGTCGATGCTTTGATACGGAGTAGCAGTGAGAACAAAGTGGCTGTAAGATGTTGGAGATGTGGTTCTGAAGGTCACCTACGACGGCATTGCAGAACACCCCAGGGCACGGATAATAAAACGGATGAGTTGACAAGACCAGTGAATGCTTTAAGACGGAATAGTGGTGAAACAAAACCGACCCTAAAGTGCTGGAATTGCGGTGTTGAAGGCCACCTACGAAGGAACTGCAGAACTCCCCAGAGCACGGAAAATAAGGCATACGATTTAAACAGACAATTAAATGCCACGGGAAGGAAAAGGACTGACAAGAAACCAAAGTGCTGGAACTGTGGAGCTGAAGGCCACGTACGAAAGAATTGCAGAACACCCCAGGGTACGAAAATTGAGACAATTTCTGAGCAACGACGCAGGAAACAAATTAATGACCATATCAAGGAACGGAGGTTGCCAGATAATGAAAAACCCTGTTTTAAAGCGCTTAAGATCTCTATAGTGAGTGGCAACAATAACGGACTGTCCATCAATGGGAATATCGATGGAGTTCCTTGCAATATGATCATTGACACAGGAGCTAATGTTACCATCATTAGGAAAGATTTAGCTGAACAGTTTAAAGATAAACTTATTTGGACGCCATCCTGTGTTACCCTTCAGACTGCGTCTGGTGACAAGATCGACATAACTGGGAAGTTAAACGTAAACATCACGTTTGGAAGTGCCGCCTACCATCACACGGCATATGTGGCGGATATTACAGATCCATGCATACTCGGATTGGACTTTTTAAGGAAATACAATTTTTCCTTAGATTTCAAAAACAATAAGCTGCTTTCAGCATCTGATGGCATGACTATCCATCCTCAAAAGGGATCCTCGCCTGGAAATGTCGACGCCTTGTCCGAAAGATCGAGCTCGGGAAGCTGCCGAAATCATACCAGGGTCGAAAAGAAACTCAAGACTACCAGCTATTCTCCATCCCAGAAGCTCTTCGGTCTAGACCTTCGTCTGCCTTGTGACCGCCTGTTTTGTTTAGTCGCCCTACGGATGCGCCTTCATCGCCTGAGGAACACATCCAAGA